CATAAAAATAACTTGAAAGGATCTATGAACCTAAATATGAAAGACTAAAACTATAAAACTTTAAGAAGAAATTGTAAGGGAAAATGTTTATGAATTTAGGGTGGGCAAGAATTTCCTAGGATATAAAAAACATGATGTAAGGGCCGGGGATTTAGCTCAGTGGTTCTGCCACCCGCCTTGAAAGTGCAAGGTCCTGAGTTCCAACTCTGGTACCAAAAAAAAAAAACAAAAAAGAAAAAACATGGTCTATAAAAGAAAAAAATTGATAAATGAGAGTCCATCAAAATTTAGAACTTTAAATGACATCGTTTAGAAAATGAAAAGTAGTCCTTAAACAGACCATATTTATAATGCATATAACCTATGACCAGAATATATAAAGAACTCTTACAGCTCATTAATAGACAACCCAATTGAAAAGTAGACACAAGATGATAAATAGCCAGTACAGCACAAGCAAAGGTTGCAGTGCTAGAATCAGAAAAATACTAATCAATACAATAACAAGATTGTATTATACACTCATTAGGGAGATGAAGTTAAAAGTTTTTTTTTTTGTTTTTTGTTCTTTGGTTCTGGGGATCGAACTTGGGTCCTTGCGCTTGTGCAGCATGTGATGAAACCACTGAGCAAAATCCCCGGCCCTGAAGTTAAAAGTTTTAAAAGAAGAGATGTCAGCTTAGGTGTGAACCAGTTAGACCTTTCGAATATTGCTAATGTGAATGTAAAATGATAAAACCATTTTGGAAAACAATATAGAAATTACTTGTATTACTGTTAAGAACCAACAGTTCTGTTCTTAAGTTTTTACTTAAGAGGAATGAAAACACATGTTCACAATAGATTTGTACATACAGGTTGGCTATCCCTTATCTGAAATTCTTGGGACCAGAAGTGTTTCAGATTTTGGTTTGAAATCCACGTGATCTGCAAAGAGGATAGCTATTCCTGCTTTTTTTTCAGGTTCCTGTCACATGAAGTATTATTTTCCACCCTTTAACTTTCAGTCTGAGTTTCTTTTTTTTTTGGTACCAGGGATTGAACTTGGGTCCTTGTGCTTGCACAGCAGGCAGCGAAACCACTGAGCTAAATCCCTGGCCCCTGAGTTTCTTTTTGAATTAAGTGTGTTTTTTTGTTTTTTTGTTTTTTTGTTCCAGGAATCGAACTTGGGACCTTGCACTTGGGAAGCAGGCAGCAGCACCACTGAGCTAAATCCCCAGGCCTTAAGTGTGTTTCTTGTATGCAGCATATTGTTGGATCTTGCTTCTTGACCCATTCTGTCATTCTATTTCTTTTGAATGGTGAATTGAGATGATTAACGTTGATGGTTATAACTGATATGTATTGACTTATCATTGTCATGACTTTTTCTTTTTGTCAGATTCTCCCCCTTTGCATTTAATTTCTTGTCGCATACAACAGATTCATTCTGCAAGCCTTCCTGGGGTTGTGATCCTTGTTGTCTTTTCCAAGGATATTGTCTAAAATTTTTTGGAATGCTGGTTTGGTATTCATGAAGTTCCTAAGGTGCCCTTTGTCATGAAAGTATCTTATTTCTCCATCAATTTTGAAAGATAATTTTTTAGGGTACATCAGTCTGGGTTGGAGGCTGTTTTCCTTTAGGGCTTGGAGTACATCACTCCAAGCTCTTCTTGTCTTGAGGGTTTGCATTAAGAAGTCTGCTGTGATTCTGATGGGCTTTCCTTTGTATGTAATTTGTTTCTTTTCTCTAACTGCTTGTAGAATTTTGTTCTTCTGTTGGGTTCCTGGAATCCTAAATATTATATGCCTATGTGTAGATATTTTTTGATCAAGGCTAGTTGGAGTCCTATATGCCTCCCTTATCTGTATGTCAGGTTCTTTTGCCCTGGTTGGAAAGTTTTCTGCCATCACTTCTATGAACAGTTTTTTATGTCATATGCACTCTATCCTGTTTGTTCATTGACTCCAATCAGTCTTACGTTATTTTTCTTTGCCTTGTCTAGCAGCTGCTGGATTGATTTCTTGTGGTCCCTTACAATTTTAAAGTAGTTTTTCTTTTCCTGGTCACTAATTGCAATCTTTTCTTATATATCTGAAATTCTGTCCTCACATTGGTTCATTCTGCTGCACAGACTTTTGATGGAGTTTTTAATCTCCTGGAAATCTGTTTGCATCTGTTTTATGGATTCCATTTGTTTCCT